CGACGGATAATTGAACGAGTAAATACGTGCAATTCATTAGTGTACCTTTTTCGGAAGAATTCGCGCAGAGATAGGCTGATGAGTAACGAAGATTGTATTTTTGGAATCTACAATCGCGAGCAGACTCTTGTAACACGAGAAAACTCTTGTAGAACCGAGCATTAAGAAACTTTATTATTGTGATACACTTTTATCGGGACACGATGGCCCGTGATCAATTACTTCGAAGTCGAAAACGCATTCTCTTGTTGCTGGAAATACGGGGGACGACTTGAAGTCGACGGTGCCAAAACTTGTGAAGAAGAATGAAAAAACGAATTGATGGAATGGCTTTCGAAAGCGCTCAACGACGCAAATCGTTTCAAATCAGTTCCAATCTGCTTCGTTCGAACAGCTATCTTTAATCGATTTCATTTCTCAGTTGTAGATGGTTTATTTTATTCATTTATTTTATTTTCCTTCAACATATTTTAATTTTTCATTTGGATTCAATTGTATTTTTTTTTTTTTTTTTTTTTTTTTTTTTTTTTTTTTTTTTTTTTTTTTTTTTTTTTTTGTTTTTACATTTTATGATGTTACGTGAGCCGTTCATTTGCCAAGTCGATTAATTCCGCGAAATGAGAAGTAGAAGAATTGGTAAAACAATAGATATTGGTGAAATTGAACGATACGATCATCTCTTTCTTAAATTGTTTTTAAATTTTTTATATAAATTAGGATTGTAGGATATGTTGTTGCGGTCCAGTTTTTATCTTACGACATGTAAAATTCGTAAAATACTGGCTTTGTACAAACAATATTATTCCATGGACAAGCGAACTTTTATTTCATAGTATTTATTGTTAAGGAAAATTATATTCATTATAATTATTAAAGGATACTCTAATTATTAAGGAGATTTATATTAAACACGAAAAGAAAAGAAAATATTTAAAAAATATTAGAATAAAGTTTCTTAAGTGAAGTTAATCACTTAGGCCTGTGAACGGTGCAGCTATGAAAATTTTAACAATCAAATGTCGAATCAGTTTAGAAATTATCATCGATTGTTCGGTCCCTCGATAATTGGGGGAAAAAGAAAGAGAAAGATGAGCGCCGCCCGATCAATGATAATTTTTATGTCAGTCCCTCAGAAGTTGTTAATTTAATTTATTTTCACTGAAGTTTAAAATTATTTATGTTTTTTCTTTGTGATATAATACACGATATAATACATGATAAATTTATTAAAGTGAGAGGTTTCTGTTAGGGACATTATCTTCCTTTTAATTTTTCGTCAAATTTGAAATTTAGAATCATCATTTTAAATTAATAAATGATAAATTAAATAAATATAATCCAATTAAAATTAGTTACAATTACTTATGTTTTCTCTCTCGTTAAAATCAAGATTTTATTTTTAAGACGTACGAATACTAATTATTGGGAACATGTTATGAAATTGGTTACTTTATAAAAAGTAGAATTAATTAATTGGTCTTCTGAGAGGCTTCTTCGTCGATCCGAACACACTGATAAACGCCAGATATGTACATACCTAGGGTAGCGTTATATTTTATAAATGAAAATTATTGTTATCACTAAGAATACTTTCTATTATTTCTAGCGAGCGAAGCGTACTGTCAGAGAGAGAAACATTTGTCGAGAGCGAACTCACACTTGTGGTTACGCATGGCCAAACATAATAATAAAAAAAAAGAAAACTACAACAATGCATTGCAAAACATCTGTACTGTATGTTTTACTTGATAGATTAGTAAAAAATTCCATCGAAGCCTTATCATGTGCTGTGTTCACGTTGAACCGAATTAAAACTCTTCGAATTCATTTATACATACATAATTATTTTATACATAATGTTCGTAACTTAACTTATTAAGGATCAATGTTAAGGAAACGTTACGTTTTTATCGAAAATATCTTTTTTCGAATAGATATTTCTTCTTCTACCTACATCGTTCCATTAAATTTAAAAAAAATTGAAACATTTTTATAGCGCATGCTTATGTATTTTGAGGAAATTTTCGAAGATAATTAATTCATCATCAAAAATATATGAAATATTCAAAGTAAAACATCCATTGTGTAGAATGTAGATAATTTTAACTCGTAAAAATATTAATATAAATTGTATAGATATCTATTTAATTGTGATAAACTATATTTGCTATATTTTTTGTACTCTTACAATATGGAAGATTACAGATATTTATGGAATAATGGACATGATTTAAAACAACCAACTAGATAATAGTGATAATTACAGAATTTAACTACAATTAAAATTTATTTTATATCAATACAAGAATAATCGTAACATTCAAGTAATATAATTTTTTATCTATGTTCATAAAACTGTAAGCTTTCATAAAAATTCGCAGTCTATCATTCTGATACGTCTCTTATGTCTTGACGAAACAACAGTCTATTTAATTTAAATTTTGATCCTTAATAGGTTAAACTATAAAAAGCAAAAACTGTGAAAGAAGATATTACACCCCTCATATCTCACAATATATTTATTAACAATGTTTACAAGTGCCCACTCGCATCATTCGCGCGAGTGTCCCTACGTTCTGTAATTACAGCTAAAAATTGTCTTCTAGACAAGTATTATTTCGAGTGCTCTATAAACTTAAAATTATACGGGGAGGGAACACATATGCAGGATGCACTCGTGAAATCATGTACTGTGAAATCATCTTTCAAAACAAATTCCACGGTTCCATCCACATAATGTACAATTCTCATGTCACAAGTTTTAAGAACAGTTAGCAATTTTGTCCATTCTGAATTCGTTCCCTCCATATAATGATCACTCTCGTTCAGAGAAACGAAACGATATTAAATCGTAAAAAAAAAGAAAAAAAAAGAAAAGAAAGAAAGCAATGTGCTGGACACGCAAATTATGCAGTCTCTTTAACAATAATCCTAGATAAAGGGGTAAAGACTCGAAAAAGCATGTTTAGCATTCTGAGGTACGAAGGTTGTGCCTGTTTTCACTTGTGAAAATGAAGTGTCATCGTACTCTACAATTTATAAACGTATATAAGAAATATCTTTATTACAGAATAAATTCGAATAAAATATACAGGAGGCGACGTTGTTCGCTTCTCGCATTGATAAAACAGAAGAAGAAATTGAACAAATGAACGCGACGATATTGCAATCGTCTTGGATTTTCTTTGAAATTTTCTTCCCCCTCTGGCTGAATTTAATATGTCCAACATGACGGAACAACATGTCGAATACTTTAGAATACAAGATAGTGTAACTGCGAAGAAAATGAATTTATTCTGGTGGAGGAATCTCGTTTAGCTTTTCGTCTAGTCTTATAAAAGTTTCATTTGAAAACTGGTGCACGCTCCTTAAGGGGGTAGTTCGTTCTGAATTGTCTAGAAATAGATAGAGTTTGATGAATTTTTTTACGTTTGTAATTGGCAATTGCTATATGAAAAATTCCAACGTTTCTGAAGTCAGTAACAAAATTATTTATGAGCTTCGCGAAAAATTATCGACGTCTTAAATTGTTAATTTGATTTATCACGATATTGGAGGTTGAAATTTTCTTTTTATGAGACAGCTTTCCTTGAAGCTGTGGGATTATTTTCGTCATTTTACTAATCGTAAAATGCTTTTTTTTGTTGAATTATCGTTCATTTTATATTTACATTGTATTATACAGCTGTCACGATAATTCTTGATAATGTTAGACGTATCGGATAAATATTTATTTATTTCATTTATATATAAATATATATAAATCATCTGAATATATAATTAAATTGTTCAACTTAATTATATAATAATATACATATCATTGTACATCATAGATTCCAAAAATGGTAAATGTCATATTACACGTACTTTTGAATGACTTCAACAAAAGGCATAATACATAAAAAGGCATACCTTTAACGTTTCATTTATTATTTCATAATTACGTACGGAAAAAATTTCGAAACTTTAGCTATTTTTCGACAATTGAGTGTTGATCTGCCCCCTTAAGAATTTCTCTGCTTGTTACAACAGTATATAAAATATTACTTTCCTGGATAATGCAGTGAATATCGATATAATCGTTTATATATTTTCTTCAGCCAGCCCTCTCGACTCGCATGTCATTTCATCTTTTTTTTTTTTTCTCTCTCGTCTAATTCACGCGTCCAAGGAATTGTTAAATTATCTCATATCTTCTCTTCCCTTCTCGTTTACAGGCAATTTAAAATTCACAGACGCGGATAACGTTACATTGTAACAGGTTCAATGTTCGCCTAGCTACGTTTAACTAAAATTACGCATCGAATCACAGTTCACGTTTTGTGGCCATCCTTACATAGAAATTCCTTCTAACGAGTGGAAAGTTTCTCCTCGCTTTCGCATCGATCGACCAACGAAGTTCAGCCGAACGTTGAACAGTTTCTCGGTTCGAATTAAAAATGAAATGCGAATAATTAGTCAGTACAGTTAATTGCGTAAAAGTCAAATGCTGATTCAATAAAGGCACGATATACGCGCGTGTAAGTATTAAAAAAAGAAGAAATGGGAAATAATCTCAACGAAATGCCTAGGTAATATTTCGTGATATAGTTTAACAATAGAACTACCCGCAGTGGTGAAAGTGACTAACTATTATTTCTATATAATTTATCGTAGCAATTTTATACATTTAAAATTATTAGAAGCTTTTTTCCTATTCTTCTGAGTTTCGCGAGTTTCACGCTTCAATTGTCGGTAGTTCTAGTGTTAAAAGTATCTCGATGATTCCAATTTACAATAATAATTATAGTCGCGTGATAGTAACAGAGCGTGAAAGAAATTAATTTAATCCTTTGAGTGCTTAGTAAAATGATCAGAAATTTAAAAGTTCAATATCGCGCGAGAAACATATATATATATATATCTAACTAATTAAAAGTATATTTAAACATATACCACTTGATGCATAATATTTATACAATATACTGCAATATATAGACTGCGAATTTTTATGCATTTATGGAAAAATGCATATCACATTCAAAAATATTTAAAATATTCAAAGTCCATATTTACTATAATATTTCTATTCGTCACATCGTCTATTTCTTCACATAGTAAGTCCATAAAAATTTTAAGATACATAAAAATTTGCAGTAATATCTATAATAATCCTTTCTGAATCTTCAACAAGTAACTAATCACAAAAAACTAATCACTTTGATACAAACTAGACACTCAAAGGTTTAAAAACTAAACAGATATTTTGACGTTCTAAAAATCAGAGAAATAGACTTTGTCACAGTTATCTGGATGCCCCATACATTTCATCATTTTCGTCAAAAAAAGATAAGAGAAGAAAAAGAAAACAGAAAAGAAGACGGAAACACGCAAAGTGTAGCCGAATTTCGATAATTGTGATATATGAGCATATAACTGCGGTTACAAACGAGGAAATCAGTTCATTCGACGTCCCTGACGAAGCAATAACGTTTGTTGACAACCGTACAGTCGTCTGTGGAGGAAATATGTACCCAATTATAAAGGTCGTCGATATCGGCTATTCCTCTACAGATCATGAGACGAAAGTCGCAAGGTACTCTCACTTTTCGAGCAACCTACAGCAGAAGCAGTTGCCCTGATTAACAACGTTCCGTCGATCGGTATCGTTGCTCGTTCAAGAAACATCTCGTTAAAAAGGAAACACTGAAACATTAAGAATTATTCAAATGCAGGTACTATAAAAATATTAATTCAGGGGATGTTATGATTGAAATTTTTTAGATTCAACCATTAGGTGGATTATTATTGTGCAATTTTAAACATACACCTTGCAAATATTGAAACATTGAAAGGCAAAAGAAAAAGTCAAAATTATAGTGAAAAGATATTGAGAAATAGTATTTGTAGTAGAATAGTATATTATTTTATATTATTTGTGTATTGCGTTTAAATTTCCAATACTGTCATGGATTTATACATGAAAATACAACGATAATTTTATTGCGTTATGTCATTACATCATATTATAACATGGTTATTGATTAAAGAATAAATAGAAAATCCACCTAAGGGTCGATTTACATACAGAATGCAAGTAACATTTTACATACAAATGAATTTGAGATTCTGTTGTCAATTCTATGTTGGCTAACAATCCAGAAGACATTTGAAGATTCTTGAAGACGTGAAGGATTCTAAAATTAATGCTGGATCGTTGTAAAGTATATGTTGATAAAATTTAAATCATTTGTATTTTATATAAAAAAAGATATAAACGGACAAAGAAACAATTGACAGCAACATCTCGGCGAGCGAGATAACATTTCCCTTTAAATCAGAAAGTCAACGTTACTTACTTCTCCATTCTTTGGTCCATGGAAATGGAATTTTACTAGCAATGCCTGATCTCCATTCCACGTGGGAGTTTGTGCCCTTGGACGTGGCTCATGCGTAGCTGCCTCGTGGCCATTCCACCGCCGCAGTGGCTGCTCCAATCGGTGGTCGATACTTGAGTCCGATAAAATTTCGAGGAAGTTTTGTTGAAGATTGGCAGCAGCTCGTTGGCTTCGTTCGATAGAGCCTGTGCCGATAGAGACCATCGATTCAGCGGGACAACGGCAATGTTACACCACGTTATGAAATTACAATCAGGCGGCTCTTACCTTCAGGTATATTATAGCGTCGGTGCCATAGCCATCGCAACTCTGAAGAACGAGGTCGCCGTGGAAATATCTGGCGTATAATCGAGATACTGGAAGACCGTAGCCGTATCCAGCTAGTGGAACGGTGTGAGCATCGGTTTTCGTTGGCCTAGGCGCTGTGCTGTACATGTATTTGAACAAATGGTCCATTTGCGAGCGGGGAATACCACCGCCTCGGTCAGACATCTGCAAACATTTTTGGTAATGTGTAATTATTAGTCTAATTACCCTGAGTGTTTCTATATATTGCATAGAATGCGTATATTAGAGAGATTACAAAAAGTATTGGTACATATAGTTCTTTTTGAACGAAGTGCCTTTTTATCAAAAAGTTTTTCGTTTCGTTTTCACAATATCAAATTATTGCAGTTACGGAGAAGTATAATCAAAATGATATGAAATTTAATGTAACTTACAATTTATTGTAATATAATAATATGCAATATTAATTATGTACGATATTATTTAATCGCGTGTCAGTATTACGCTGCATTATATGCAGTTTTGCATTTTCAAATTTTCAGAAAATTGAACGATAATAATATTAATTTATATAAATTAATCAAATAATTAACCAAATTCTACCCTGATGTCTGTTTACAGTCAACAGTACATCTTACATAATGTAGATGATAAAAAAAAATTGATTCCCACTTTCTAATAATACTCTACGTAATTAACACGATCTATTAGCGAATGTATTTCATATCGAGTACTATGACGCACCGATATTCGATACGAATGTTGACGAAACGTCAGTTTCAATTTCCCACGCAGTACACGTTTATTTATAAATTCGATCGTTCGTTAATTTACACGTCGGCCTACCAACTAGACGCATCATTAACTGATTGTTTGCAAAATTAAGAAACCGATTTGTAAATCGTACCTTGACGCAAATGTCTTCTTTGCCACGCGACACGATCACTTCTATCGCCGGATACTCCGCGTTCGAGCTATGGTGCTCCATGATAGCTCGCATGCTGTTCTTAAAAAGCTCGAACAGCATATGGAACAAATGGCTCGGCACGTAAACTATTCTAATTTGGCTACATCGTTCAAGCTCTGCAAAGAAAGAAGAATTAGATACTTATTTCAAAAAAAGAAAAACGTGCAAAACTGTCGTTCAACAATATTTATTTCAAGCTTAAAACTAACCAAGCGTAATTGATTTGTTACGATTGATATTATGTTTAATAAATCAATACTAGTTTTCAAGAAACAACTTCAGCAGAAGAAAATGGATTTAAGATTGTGAGAAAAAGTTATGTCAGAAAACTGATCATTGTCAACTCCGTTTTACAATGGTCAAAATGTATCGAACACATGACAACGAGTCATAACTTGATTGATATTATTTTCAAGAAAGGTACAAAGCAAGTGAGATTCCATGAAGAATTCGGTCAATTTCATTTGTAACAATCTGACAAGAAGGTTCTATTTTTATCGTTACTTTTACACACGAGTAGAAAATAACAAATTGCCACAGTGAAAGCTTCTCATTGTCATCTAATCTACTATATACGTGTGTTATCTGTCATCGTGAAATTCAAAGGTTTCATCGTGGCAACTCTTTGCACCTACGCCTACTACAGAAAATTGATCATATCGTGCTACTTACTAGCAATACTCTAGAGTACAATCAACATATTTTTTCAAACTTGCCGTTATGTTGCTGAACTATCAGTTCCGGACTAGCCAGATAATATTGATCGCATAACAATCTCGCTTTCTCATAAGCGTCTTTCACGACGCTGATTATCTCACAGGACGGATCTATAGATCCCACGTGTCTGCTATGTCCGTTTAATTCGTTGCCGAAAAGGAGCGCTGCAACAGAAGACTCTTCTTTCGAACCGCACTTAACCAGGCAACACATTGAGACTATAGGAAAGAAACATGGAAACTTCCGAGTCTTTTCACTTTTATATTCTTTCTCTACTTTCTTTCTAAATTCCGTATGCTGTTAATTAATTCCACATTGTCAAAACTGGCCTCAAGATTTTTTAAACAATGCTTGTAGATATTAAAATATTGAACAATCAGGGAATCAATAATTCGGTTTCGTTATTACTTCGTTCTGGAGTATTTAATTTTCCTTGAATTTTCTGCCAGGGAGAATGTACACACGATACAAAATAAAAGTAGATATCTGTAGTCATTAGTAGCCAACGATACTGCTTGAAGGTCTGCAATTTCTGCGATTATATTTTACATAACATATACACCACAGTTACGCTCTACAATTTAAAATATTATACTTTAAATAAAGAAATCAACAAAAATGTAAATGCTTATCATGTTTCTTTCCTGTGATCTTCGGTGCTAGGATGAATACAACGATAAGCTTACTGTGTTGATTGATCAGCATGCGAATAGAGATTCGTGACATGAGAAATCTGTCCAAAAAGTACTGGATATTGTTCTCCGTCTGGGCATCGACGTCGTGAGATTCCTTCAACTCGAGAACACCCTGCGCCATCGTCTCCACGATGTCCTTGTGTCTGTTCCGGATTTTAACCAAAGTCTGACAGAATCTATCGAAAAGAAACAAGAAAGCAAATTTAAACATACTTTGTCTACATATGCATATGTATTATACATCTGTTCGGAAAAAAGAATTTTCGAATTTCTTTCGGTCGAAATTGCGCGAGGAATGCAACGTTTCAATCGTTTGCACTCGAGAGCATTTTAAAGAACTGAATCGGACGTGAATCCGTTCAAGAGATTGTTCTAGCGTTGAAGACTCACTTGTCTAAAGTGGTCTCGTTGACATCAACCTTCTCGAACTGCATGATATCCTCAAACGAAGTGGCGTACATATTATTAACTATACCCACACTAGGCATGTTCAACAAATTCTCCGGCAGCAGGTGGATCTCTTTCATAATGTTGGCCAATCGGACTGGTAGCTCCTTCCTCAAGAATATGAACGACTTCCTCTCACAGGCACTTAGACCTGAAACATTCGATTCGTTCTCTATAATCAGGGATTTGCCAATTTCCAATGATCTGTAATCGATGTTTTGTAATTAGAAATTTATGATTGATTAATCTCGACAGGCCATTAATTCAATGGGAATTTTTCTGTAAATTTCCATTTTTGTAATTTACGAGTTAATCTTGCCACAATTAATTTTCCTGTAACTCTTTTACTTTTCTAGTTATTTATGATATTTTCTATAATTAATTATATTTTATAATTATATGATAAATATAATTAATTAGATTTTAATTTTCTGTAATTAGTAATTTTCAATCTTTCAATTTTTTAATTTTAAAATAAATTACAACTTTCCAATCGCAATTTCCTATTTCTATAACTAATTTAGTATATATAGTTTAGTATATATATATAGTAATTTTCAATATTTCGTACAATTCCAGATTTACATTTCAATTTCTCACATAATTTTCTACTTCTGTAATTAGAAATGTTCACGTTTTGTAATTCGAGATTTGTGCTTCAATCCTCCCGCAATTCCCTATTTCTGAAGTCCTCGGCGTTTTTTATAATTAGAAATTTGTACTCGAACTTTTTTTCATTCATTAATTCTCGTTTCTTTTACTGGCCATGTTTTCATCTCGTGATCAACGTATCGTAGTAGAACGTATGACGAGGAGTTTAAACTGCTAATCGCAAAAAAATCCATGATAATGACGATCTTATCTAATTTAATATCCATGCAAAGACAAATGTCTCAATGTTGTTTTGACGAATTTGAAAAAGACGGAACGATGAACTCTGTAAATAGAGCCTCGATTGCGTAAGCTCGATTCCGTCGCGGGAAAAGCAGAACGATTTCTTGAAATGCTTGTCTTGTTTCGTGGTAACGATACGCGTTATCGCTCAACGTTTCAACATTATTTACGATTCAAAGAGAAGCCGCGTGTTCGCTTTACTTTTTTTAACTTCCCATTTCGACGCTAAATATTAGATTAGATTTTGCAAGTATGTAGAATTATCGGAACATGGACTGACGAAGTAAAAAAAATTAACAGAATAAAAAACAACGTAGAAAAAATTAAATTTCTGCCAAATATTTACGAAATACATTCTGGTCAATGTGTCAAATTTGTTGAAATAGTTCCAATCTAATTTTATATATTTTTCAGATTGTAATGATGTATTGATAATATTTATCGAAGACGAATACATCTGTACATATGTCATTAGAAAGAAATGTTCCGCATTCGAAAGTGCATAAAATAGGTCATAGATAAACCATCCTATATATATGTGTATTTATTAGCCCCACTCTGTAGAAAATACGATCATGCGAGCTCGAGACTGGCCAGATTGATATGGTTTTATCAGTCCTCGCAGGCGTTGGACTCGTATCAAAGTGATACAGACGCTTTTGACGTTTAATTTACTAAACCCCACTTCTGAAAATTTAACTTGTCGATCGATTGACAAAGTGCTCGCAATTTCAACTAAACTTTCTGTCAACGGATATAGATATGCCGGAATAACTTTTTTTTTTTTTAGATTCTATTGAGAGGGAATCGTCTATCGATTGTTCTTCGAGTGAAGGAATTTCATAAAAACAACAATTGTGTGTTGTATCGTTTACTGTCTGTAAACTGCAAATTTTTAATGCGTTTGTACAAAATTGAAAAATTCAATAACACACACAGAAATATATGAAATGTCCGAAATATATGAATCAAATTTGAATCTCTTTAATTGCGATCGCGAAAATACGAATTTACACGAAAATCCGTAGTGATAATTTAATGACTGTCACTAATGACAATATTAATTATTAACGACTTTTAATTAACAATAATTAACAATTAACATTTAATTAACAATAAGAGGAGCATTCGTGCTGTGAAAGTAAAGTGCAAGCAATAAGAAGAAATTTATCTTATCTTTTATCTGTACATTTTTACGAAAACACGATACAAACGTCGAAAAATATAACCGTTGTAAATCAACAAGATTTCTATGAGATATCGCAAGTTGTATATTTAATTTATTTTATTTATCCGGTAATTTCATGCAGCTGTGCATTTTGCGTTAGATGTAATAAAATTATTGGTTCGGAATTTAATTCTCAATTACTCGAGATTGCTTAATTACCATCGGCACAGAACGGATAATTCAGGAATGGCGTAGGAAGATATCGAGTTACGTCTCGTTAAATTTGTTTGACCAAACCTAGTGAATTGACTTTAATGAATTCCAGAAATATCCTTTCCAATTGAGAGTGGCTGTCATTTATTCTTGAAGGTACAAACAGCACAAATTTCGAAAGAAAAGAAAAAAAAAAAATGCACAAAATGCAAATGTAACGTGTAAACTATACTTGTGAAAATTATGACCTTTAGGTACGTCTCATCTTGTGTCTCTACGCTTTTAAAAGTCGTTGAAAATTTATGCGAGCAATGCATCAAATCGTTGTCTAGTTTTTTTCTCTATTTGACGATGGGTATAAAGTATAAACGTTTGCGAACAGAATAGAAGTAAGTGGATGTATAGGTGGGGACTTCGTAAAACTTGACCAGATCGCCATTTACGTCATCGGTGCGGCTAGATCGCATTTCCATCGAACAATAACTTGATGTCATTGCTTAATTGGATTAAATTTAGTACGTATTACGTTAGTCGATTTTACGCGATCTTGTGTACGTAGTGGAAAGTTCCTCAGTTAACAATTCCTACGCATGTTGACGACTACGTTAAATTTGATTCAATATCAATATTTCATTTTTTCTTTAGAGACAAAATTTTTATGCGTACGTTAAATTTTAACTAGATAGAAAAGTCGTAACAAATATTTTTTTTTTCACGCACCCTGAAGTGAATTTCACTTGTTTACTTGTTTTTAGTCTTTCAAATCGTTTTAGTATCTGATAATCGAAGGTAAAATATACTTATCACAGTCTCGTTAATCTATGTTTATTTTTCATGATTGAGGAAGAAACTTTTGTGTTAGAGTTTCTCTTCTGCCAGCTTTTAAATTCTTCTCATACGTAATAATCGAAAAGACCAAATAACGAAAGATATTTATTTATTTTACAAGTGTGTAATTATTCGAATAATTTCATTATCATTGTCTTAGAAGGAATAAAATAAAGCTCGTAAAATAATGAACTCTTCCCATGTTATTCTCACTACCAATAACTAAATAAAATAAACTCAACCAATGAAATAAATTTGGGAAATTATCATTCTACGTATGTAATAGAATAATTTCTCAATAATTAAACTCTCTAGTAAATTTAATGCTTGAAAATTTCATACGTCGGTATTATTAGTAAATAACAGATAAACTGTTAAAATCCCATCTTCAACTATCAGCGAGATTGGATGATAGGAGGAACAGTGTCCTATCGACATTTTCGAAATGCCAGGTTTCCCATCAGAGAAAATTGCATTTACTTCTAACTGGATAGATGGATGAACAGCTGATTCAGTGCCAGGATAATAAATTGCCATGAAGTCATTTATTTAAGACTTTTATTCGTAGCAAGCAGACTGTACAAGATAGAAGATTTTTTTCTTTTCTTTTTTTTAATGAGAAAACGACTCTACTTGATCAAATTTGATCGAAGAAATGGCCTTCGTTGAATTATCTGTTCGCGTGGAATCATAGATGAACCATAACATCATCGATATCACTATCATTATTATTTCTTCATTAATGTCACACACGTCTGATAATATTTCTGCTATCCAACCTCTCGTGAGCACTATTTTTAAATCAATTAATACCTATATCTATGTTTCATCGCTTTCGTGAAAGTTTGCTCATTTTTATCTTTATCCTTGTGCTCGGACGTTGAAAAAAACTTTGGAATTATTTTTCGGAATTTTCGTTCCGAATCACGGTCCTTTGTGTATAGAATATCGGTTCTAGGATCATTAAATTTTCGATCTTATATCGGTTCTAGGTCCGAACTTTAACTCAAAACTTCTAACTCACAAATAACAATAATATAAATTTTTCACAAATAACAATTTTGTTTTTTATTATTTACAATTTACATGTTTAAACGGATTAATGACATATCTCGCACGCGGCCAGACATCCTTAAGTAGAATGAGTCTACATGTGGCTGACATTCGTAAGTAGAATGATCCATATTTGGTCAGACGTCAGTAAAAGGAATTCCAAGAATTCTTGACGTTTTTCTACTATTATATCTTCTACTTATTGTTAGATTTTATGAAATCTTCAGTGTTTTATACAAAACATAATTGCACGTGAAAAAAGAACAAATATTCGAATATTCGTGCAAGCAGCTGTAATTTTAAAAATAATTTTTTATTCGAGGTGCATACACCGCTGGTTTGATTTGCCAAGAAATCGCCCGGGAGGTCAGAGAACGTGCATTGAATTGCAATGAAACATGCAATGCTTCTCAATGAATCGTCCTCTTTCCGTTTGAGAATGTGTAATACGTTTGTTATAATGCCAGCAGCAAAGTCTGTATTATCGGTTTTGTGAAAAATTTGTGAGCGAACGGAATTCGTTTTGTGAAGAAACGTAGAATGGAAATGTTAATATTGAAAACTGGAATGAAACGTATGCAACGTAGGATATGAGACACGAGATAGAAAATGTGAATGTAAATATAAGCTGTGGAAGTCAATTTAAGATGTATGGATTAATAATATTAAATGAATGTGAAATGTAAATATCAGTAATGATTAATAACAGATTAAGCACATATTAATATTAAGTAAATATTAATAATTAAAGTAATCTATTAGAGATACTGGATGAGATGTGAAATAGCAAATATGTGATGTGGAATTTAGTTTAGGAATTGTAGATTAATGATGTTTAACATGGGATATTCTACATTATAGGATACGAAATATGGAATGTGGAATGAAAGTATTAATAATGGAAATTAGAATGAAAATATCCATTGAAGATACTGTGGATGTGGAATGTGCGAGATATGCGATGTATAGTAAAAATATGAACTGCGGATGAATTA